GCCATGGTGGCCGCGGCGGCGCCGTAGCCCGAGTAGCCGCCGGGCGCGGGCGCGGCCGCGACGGGGCCGGGGCCAGGCGCGGCCGCGGCCTGCTGCTTGGCAGGCGCGCCGAACGTGGCCCCAATGTCGGGCGCCGCGGACGCGGGCGCGGGCGGCGCAGCGGGCTCGCCAAAGCCGGCGCCGAAGCCGCTGCCAAAGTCCGGGATCGCGGGGCTGCTGAGCGTGAAGTTGCCGAAGCTCAGGTTCAGATTGGCGGCCGCGTCAACGGACGGGTCCGCGGCCACGGGCGCAGCCACGGTGCTGCTCGCGGCATACGAGGTAAGCGGCGTCGGCTTCGGCGCCTCGTAGAGCGGCGCCGGCGCCGACACGGGCGCGGGCGCGGCGGTGGGCGCCGCCGGCGCGGGCTCGGCGGGCGCGACGGCCGCTGCTGCTGCTGCTGCGGGGCGCGCCGCCTCAACGGCGGCGCCGCCCAGGCCTGACAGGCCCTGCAAGCCCTGCGCCAGTGCGGGCGCTGCGGCGTGGGCCGGCGAAGCAGCAGGGGCCGCTGCTGATGCCGGCTCCACCGCGGGCGCCGCCGGGGCGACCTCGGCTGCTGGCGCGGGCGCCTCGGGCGCGCCCCACCCCACCGCGGTAGAAGCCGGCACCGCGGCGGGCGACGACGCCGCGGGCGCTGCTGCGCCGCGCGCCTTGGAGGCTGCTGCGAGGCCGCGGCCAGGTGGGCTCACCGCCGCGCCGCTCGACAGGCCGTTGCTGTCCTGTGCAGAGGGCGCAGAGCCAGCTGCCGCGGCGGCGGGCGCCTTGGCCTGCTGCGGGTTCAGAGGGGTACGTGCGGAGGCCGCACATTTCAGTTGGCAGGGCCTAACAACGTGGAAACGCGCCCCAGGCAATGCCTTAAAACCTTCAAGGCCTCTCCATCGCGTGCGTCGCGCCCTGGGCGAGATCAACACGCACACATGGCCCCACGTGACACTGGGATACACATTGATGCGCACAAGGGTGTGCTACACACATGCATCGCACGCCGCTGCAGGCATACCTTGTCCTTCAGCAAGCTCGCAAACGACACGGGGGCTGGGCCCTTGGGAGCGCTGCTCGCTGCCGCCGCCGCTGCTGCCGGCGCTGGCGCGCCCCACCCCGCCGACTCCGCCGCTGGAGGCGCCGCATCCCATGAGGCTCCCCCTGCAGCGGCTGCCGGTGCGCTCTCGCCCCAGCCAGCGTCGTCAGCAGCAGCTGTTGCCGCGCCCCAGCCCGCGTCGTTGCTGGCAGGAGCGGCAGAGCCCCACTGGTCCTCGCTGCGGGTCATGAGAGCAGCGAGAAACCGAAGCGGCATGTATCGTACCAGCACCTGCAATGCTGCGACCGTGCTGCCATGCGCGAGCGTACAATCCACTACGGCTCATCAGACCACGCATCAAGCCTGCCATGCCATCAATGGCTGTTGTGGTGCGCACAGGTGATCAGGCCCTAGTCGTAACAGTCGCGCTCACGTTGACTCCGCAGCTGCGGCCGTCCCGTTGGAGGCATGGGCAGCGGCACCGCCGCCACGGCCGCCGCGCCCGCCCGCGCCCCGGCCGGCCACTGCGATAAGCGGCATTGCATCCAAGAGGTCGCTCAGCTGTTGCGACACGGCTTGGTGCTGATCACATACCTCACACGATCGAGCAGCTGGGCTGCACCAACCAGGTCTTCCTCCAATCCAGCTCTGACTGGACAAGCTGCTGGGCGAATCCAGCCACCGTCTATCCCTCACAGATGACACGTTCAGATGCTGAATAGCCAACAGACACCACAAACAGCAGCAGGCGCGCACCTCGACCGGTTGGCGGGCCCGAGTCGCGCGCATCCCCGCGGCCGCCCCTGCCTCCACCACGGCCGCCTGTGAAACCGCCCGCAGGAGCAAAGCGCCTGGTCTCCTGCCTACGGGCGGTCTCGACCTCCTTTCGCCTGGCTTCCTCGGCCTGCAGGTCGCGGTGGCAACAAGGCAGAGACGGGAAGGACGTGGGCTTCCGTTGCAAGCGCCAGCGACCTGCCAAGTGCCCGCATGCATCCCCACACACCTCTTTCCGCTTCTCCTGCTTGGTCTTGACGCGCTCAAATGGATCTGCGGTGACGGGGCGCGGGCGGTGTTTGCATGGGCGCCTTCAGCGTCCGACGAGACCGCAAGAAAGAGATTGGCCCCACAAAATGCTTTTGCGCACGGCGCTATGGCAGGAGACGGCCTCACGGGCGCGTGATCGGCCAGCTAGCGTGGCACGCCGGCACTCACTCTCCAGCAGCTTTTCTGTGGCCTCGTTAGCGTCCCCGCCGCAAAGCTGGAGCATAACACAGATGTCTTCGTCTGACGCGCCAGTGGCCTCCTTCATCATCTCGAGGACCTTCTTGGGCGCCACGCCTTTCGAGGAGGACTCTCTGTCCGCCAGACGAGAGCCCCCACGGGCTCCAGCCTCGCGGGAGGCCATCCGTGCTGCGCCCTGACCGCGCTAAAGACTGCACGATCTGATGTGTGTGCGGCTGGTCAGGACTGGTGTCGTCTTTTAGTGTGACTTTGTCTTATCATGTCATAAACCAAGCAGAGCTTGTCCGGTGGGTGTTCCGGTTATGGTCTGGCCTGGAGGACTCGCGAAGCTGCCGGCGGGGTGGCACAACCGCTCCGGCATGCCTGTTCGTGGGCCTAAACCAGGTGGAGAGAGATAAGATCACTGATTGAGGGATTTATGCGAGGAATGCAGAGTAGCGGTTAACAGGCCGGGCCATGCCGGACGAGCTGTCACCCCACAGGCTGAATTTCAGCCGCTGAAACAATCGATGGCTGGTGCAAGCAAGACCTCTATGGTATCTTTAGTTCTTGTTCTTGACAGTTCTCTCGCGTGTTGAGAAAATGGCTTTGACATCCTGTGTGCCTTGGTGGCACTGCGTGTTGGTCACTGCATTCTTGGTGTTTATGATCACCCGGCTGAAATTGCGAAGCATCTTGTGTCCCTCAATCACAACCTAATTGGCACAATCTGAAGTAATACGAGCTCGGCCCCAGCAATTAATACCGGCTATTCAAACATCGCGTAGATTGTTTATGGTTGACTTAAAGTCAGTCACAAGCAGCATGCATGAAGTATGGAACCTTTTATTGCGCCAAATCGGTTCAGAAAACACCCTGGCCAGCTGCATGTCAGCTGGGCTGAGCCTGCACGCCAGCTGCCAGCTGCCCAGGTCGCCCATATTGCACCATGACGCTCCTTCAAACTTCACGCAATGTATCTGACATCCTGACATGGTAGCAGCACAGGGCTGTTGCTGCTGCCTGGCAAGTATATCGCTGCATGTGGGCGGCAAGCGGTGCCAACGTCACGGGGCCAAGCCAGCATGCATGGCTTGATTCAATTGGTGCCACTGCATCAGCACAGTAATGCATTACTGTATGTGACATTCCGTCAGAACCTCGACAGCAATGAGCAATAAACTGGAACGGGGAACACATACTGTCTTGACTAAGGTATTGCATGGCTTGTATGTTGCAGGCCTCGTCCAATGGCATGGCCCAGCCGGCATACATGAATACAGGGACGCACACGATGACATCATATGCACCGTGATCAAACAGCCGGTTGAGCAGGTGCATCGAAAAGTGGCACAGTGCAAGATCTTCGATGTGACACATATATGAGGATGCAATTTCAGGTGCCATGCTAGGATGTAGATGGGTCAGTGGACGCTGAGCAGCGACATAAACAGATGAACAGATGCACACCACCTTGGCGCCTGCTGGACGCATGTATTGCAAGTACGGCGCACGTGTACGCGCATTCGCGACGATTGTCTATGGCCTTTTTTCAAATCTACATACGGTGTAACAAGGATGCTGCGCCGAGCAGCAAGGCGGGCCCTGAGCTCCCTGCAAGAATATAATGTATCCGTATCAACACGTTGTCCATATCTAGGGGTACCGTCTGTCTCAGGCCAACCGCTGCCATGCACAAGAGCAGCAGCAGCACAGCCACGATGCTTGCTGCTGCCGCATGGCACCAGTCACCTTCAGCACTCAAGGAGTTACAGCAGCCAGAAGAGCGAGGATAAGCAGGAGACACACCCGGATCAGCAGCAACAACAGCAGCAGGGCCTGGGCGGCAGCAGCGGCGCCTCATCAGAAGGCGATGGTGGCGGCAGTGACGATGACGGCGGCAGCGACCCAACGGAAGAGATCGAGTTTTTCGCAATCACTCAGCAAAGAGGCCTGATGTTGGAGGACTACAGCAGAAAGGCACTGCTCGAGGGGATGACGGACGCGTCGCACCTGCACCTCGCGCCGCGGCAGGCGCCGCTCTCCCTGCTCGTCCATGGCGTTGCATCACTGCTTATGCGCCCGGTGAGCGCGCGCCGCCGCCCCTCCCCCCCCCCACACACACACACAGCCACGCCGTGCCGCAGCGCAGCTGAGACAACCGCGCGCTGGTGCTTGCGTGGTGTCATGCCTCACCGCTGCTCCTGGGCCGATGTGGCCCGCCCATTCTTGCGGCTGCTGCGCAATGTGTACCCCCGCGCCCCGCAGATACGCTTGCTGACGCAGCGGGGGTCGGAGCGGCTGATGCGTAATGCCATAGAGGAGGAGTTTGACGCGGCCGAGTTTCTGGACGGCGCCAAGGGCGCCGTGCGCGAGGTGATGGCGCGATACGGAGAGAAGGTGCGGGGGCGCCTGCGCGTTGCGCGCAGCGGGGTGGTCCCACTCAGATGCGTGGAGCAGGTGCCCCACGGCAACCGGCGGCGAGCGAGCGAGCGGCAGCGGCCAGCCCTGGACCCGCACGCTGTGGCGCAGGGCGCAGCCTCTGACAATTGCTTTTTAATCAGGTGTGGCATCACACCTGTGCACATGCTCGCACGCACGTGGCCGCACGCGCGCATGCACATGCAGGCGGGCAGCACCGTGCGCATGCCCAACCTGCCCCCAACACGAAGGCGTGCACGCGTTTGTTTTGGGGCGCGCAGGATTGGGAGGCCCTGGAGGGGATGGTGTCGAAGCGCATGCTGCTCGGCATGAAGGAGGAGCACGACAACCTGCTCGAGCAGCGGCAGCTCAAGGTGCTGGCGCCGCGCCGCACGCTGCTCGCTGGCGTCGTGCCTCTTGGGAGCTGCAAACGCGCCAGCGCCACCTCACCCGTTTCGTTTCGCCGCGCGTCGCCTCGCCTTGCGCAGCTGGCTGCGCGGTATTGACACATTGGCGCATTCAATTGTGTGGTGGTCCACCGCACCAGCATTGCCGAAAGCCTAAGTGCGGTCGGTTTCCCTCACGCCCCACCCCGCCCCCAGGTGGTCAACATCTCAACTGACATCCAGGAGGCGTCCCTCCAGCTGCCGTGCGTCTGGGGGCGCCGTAGCATCAAGGAGTACGACGAGGAGAGGGCCCGGGCGCCGCTGATCTCGGGGGCGGCGCCGTTTTGGAACGTGATCTTTGTGGTGCGTGGGTGGTGGGTGGGTGGGTAAGCGACGACTGGGTGGCTACGTGTGCGGCTCATTGAGTGGTTGTATGGGTGGGTGCGTGGGGGTTGGTGGTTGTGTGAGTGGGTGGCTGAGATGCAATTTCGAGATGATAAGCCGGCGAATGGCAAGGGCCTTGCCTGTCGGAACGACGGATAGCATAAAGAGGTGCCGAGGTGGCGTCTTTGTTAACCTGGCTGGCTGACGCGCATCACACAGACCCGCTTCTACCCATTTCAAGCCACAACTGTGCCCGTGCGCCTCCTCGTGCTCTGCACCGCAGAACGTCATCAGCCGCGTGCGCGTCCGTCTGGCTGACGCCCACAGCGGCCGCATGGCCACCAACGCAACCTCGCGGCAGGGCGTATTTGTCTTTGCGCGGGGGCCGCTCCCGCGGCAGGTCGTGCCCGAAGTCCACCCTCCGTGGTGGATGGTGGGGTGGCTGTAACTCTCCAGGGCAGCTCCACGTGTCCCCAGCTCGTTCCGCCTTTTCAACATGCAGAGCAGCCCTTCAGCAGCAGCGCCAATGGGTAGGTCATCGCGGGCGTGGGGCCCACAACGCAGGGCGTTCAGCCCAGCCCGATGTCCTGTCTCTAGACCACCCTGCTACGCCAGCCCGGCAACCCGGAGCACAGCCAGCTGGTGGCGAGCAAATCCATCGCTAGCAAGCTGCTGGCCGGCAAACCGCTGACGACTCACGACAAAGTGCTGGCAGTGACGCTATTACAATGGCCGGATGGCACTATCAGGGAATGAACGGGTCTTGTTTCAACAGAACGGCACCTCGCGCCACATGTGAGCGCGCTGGTCCGCGCCCCTTGTGCCCCGGCGCGGCGGCGGGGTGCGCTGCAAAGCGGCCGCGCAAACGTGCGCGGCGCCCGTGGTGCCATGGGTATATGCGTATGCTGCATTGGGCCAGGCGGAGCCGCCGGCGCGGCGATGCATTTGCGGCGAGGGGGCTCGCCGACTCCTGCTTCCCAAATGCCCTGGCATCGCCGCCGCCGGTTAGTTGTTGTACAAATTTCCCAACAGGGCCAAGCCTGGGCAAAAAGCAACCGTGGAAAAAGAAGCGCTTCGCCAGAGTGCGGCGGCAGCTGCGCAGCCAGCAAACCCAACCGTGCCTGCCAGGCGATGACACCACCCGAAGGCGTGTGCGGTGCGTCGGCGCCGGGAGCCGCGCTGCTCTTGGGCCCCGTCGCCGTGCCCCGAGGTGCTCACGAGCTGCAGCACGCGTTCTTCTTGGGCGCCGGCGCCGGCGCGCTGTCCAGCACGATCCCCCCCTGCGGCGGCCGCGGCGCGTCTGCCTTTGGCAGCTTGCGCGCGATTTCGCTGAACAGCTCGTTCACGTTCGCCGCCGTCTTGGCAGAGGTCTCCAGGAAGTGGAGGCCGTTCTCGTTGGCATACGCCTGCGCCTCCTCAGCCACGACGGCGCGCGCACTCTCCAGGTCCGCCTTGTTGCCTGTTGTTGAGGTGATGGTTGGCAGGCGTCGCGGCGGCGAGTCAGGGGTTGAGGCGCTTCGACACGGTCGTGGCTGTTTGTAAGTGAAACGACTGTTGCAAGGGTGCGCTCTGCCAGCATCATACTGGTACTGGCATGAACTGTCCTTCTGATTAGGCAACTTGGTGCTGCTGACGGCAGCGACGACCCGCCATCACTAGTGCAAACAAGGATGGGAGCCACCCGTGCCCTGCCACTCGTGGCAGGGCACGCGCGCTTGCTCATGGCTTCACACCACGCCCAACTTGCAGCGCCAGCTGCTGCAATTATCTGCTACTCCCATCAACCAATGCCCCCCATTCTTTATTGCAGAGCTGCTTGACTGCTCGAAAACCTGCCACTGATTTGCCGCCCTGCAGATCCCTGCTGCGGAGTCACCGCACCCCATGCAGACGCTGGCGCCGCCCGCCGCAACGCCCCAGGGCTCAACCTGCTCCCTGCGGCCCCGCACCCCACTGGGCGCGCCGCGAGCCCCTCACCTGCCAATGCCATGATCATATTGGGGCCCCCCTGCCGCTGCAGCTCGCGTACCCAGGCCTTGGCGCGGTTGAAGCTGTCCGTTGAAGTGATGTCATACACAATGATCGCCGCTGCTGCGCCCCTGGAGTGGCGGCGAGATGCGTGGGCGCAAGGGGGTGTGTCTTGCGCCAACTGCATCATTTCATCTCACTGCGCTTCAGCCGCCACCCAAGACACCGTGCCCCAGCCGCCACCCAAGACCCCTCCCTGCCAACCGCGCTTGCTGGTGGGGAGCCTGATCCTAGCGCTTGCGAGGCCACCCGATACACCTTGGAGCATCAGCCAACGCTGGTTTAGTCCCTATGCGTACTCAGGCGCACCTGTAATACATTGGAGCTAGACTATGGTATCGCTCCTGACCGGCCGTGTCCCTGTGTAGCAGAGCCGCCAAGGTTGGAGCGAGCTGGTGGTTGGGTGCGCGTCCCCGCGGTATGTGTGAGCGTAGCACTAGCAACCACATGTGCCCATGTGCGTCTCAATTTCAAAAAGGGCATGTTGCAATCAAACGATTGTTTGCGCCGCGGAATAGTGATGACGGTGTGGGAAGGGTGACGCCAACCGACAGCGATCCACATGCCCCATTCAATGTGTTTGAGCTGGGCGCATGGCTATTTTGCCGCCGCAACAACCACCAACAAGCCCGCAGTACATTGCAGAGAGAGTAGCGCTCGCTCTTTGAGCTGCTGCGCATCATCATTTGGCTGCAGCGCAAGCCACGCGCTGCGTCGCGCGCGCCGGTTGAACGCCCCGCTGCCGCGCGCACCAGATCTCGAACTTGATGTTCAGCTCGGGGATTGTTTTCGTGAGAAAGGCGGCACCGACCGTGGAAGCCTGCGCGCAACAGACCGGGCTTCAGGCGAGTCCCTCATCCGAGGCGCCGAGCAGCACAGTCCCTAGCCAGCCAGCGCATCGGCACACAGACTTCATCCTTGGTAACAATCATCACATGACTTGCCTGGTACTCGTAGAACGAATTCTTGACGTAGCGGAGCACCAGCGAGCTCTTGCCAGAGCCCATCTCCCCCAGGAGCACCAGCTTCGCCGTAGTTTGCTGCGACAGTGCTAGCGTGTCCGCAGGCGCGGCCATGGCTACGGATGGGGAGCCTCCTTGGACCGCGGGCAGTGTGGGAATCCTGCCGGAGTTTGTGCTGGGCGAACTAGGGACTACGAGTAGGTGGGAATAGCAAGAAGAGGAGAGCAGGGACCTGTACGGTGTATGACCTGCACAGCAACACACATGCAGCATCACCTTGATGTGCGGGACACCCACCTCACGCAGCACCTGCCCGCCCAGCACCTTCCAGTGTGCATGAGGGCTTGTTGCTCCTTGACGGCAACCAGGCACCTCACTGCACCCATGAATTCTACCGGGGCGATCGTCTGTCCGATTGTCCTGTCGGGGCCGCTTGTACGTTTGCAGCTGCCCAGCCGTGCTTTCCTTTGGGTCAAACTGGAGCAGGAAGTGCCTGGCTGGCACTAGTGTGGTGTCTGCTTCGCACCTCGCATCAATTGTCTGGGTTTGCTCACTTGAGAATTCACGTCACCTGCCTAGGCCTCTGGGTACTGTAGCCCTGCACAGATGCCCCCGAGCACAACCCATCCAACCCTGCAGTCACGCCGCTGCTGCCATGCTTTCGCCTTGCGTACGTGCTGCTATTTTCTTGGTGTCAGAGAAAGGGGCAGACGATACAAGTGATATTTACACACAGTTGGGAGCATGACACATTGCTGCGATGCACAAAACTGCCTTGCACGATGTGCGGATAATGCAAAGGCAAAAGGGCGGGTCAAGCCGCGGGTTTACTGAACTGTTTTTCTCCTGACGTTGTTTGGTTGCACTCAGCGGCGCTTGGCAGCCTTGGGGGCAGGCGCGGCGTTCATCTCGCTCATGCGGTCGAGCTGGTTGTTGAGCGGCTGCAGCATGTTGAAGCCCACCCATGCGACGGCGGGCGCAAACAGCAGGGCGATGGTGCCCAGCCTGTGCGTGTCAAGGAGCATCAGAGAGTTGCAAAGCGCAGGGTGGCAGTGAGCACCGTATGCGTAAACGTGGGTACGGCAGTGTTCGGCCCACAAACACATGCACAGACTCTAACAAGGTACATGACAGCTCTGCGGCCGCGCATGCCGTTGTTCTATGATCACTGCTTCACAGCGGCAATTCAGAAGGGCTTTGCCACGAGCTCACCTGTTGTCAGAGGCGGCCAGCTGCGCGACCTCAGTCGCGGCCTCTGCGTGCTGTGCAGCGAACAGGGAAAGCGCTGCGCCCAGGCCGACAGCGCTCGCCACGCCGCGGCGCTTGGCGGCCTTGGGGGCAGGCGCAGCGTTCATCTCGCTCATGCGGTCGAGCTGGTTGTTGAGCGGCTGCAGCATGTTGAAGCCCACCCATGCGACGGCGGGCGCAAACAGCAGGGCGATGGTGCCCAGCCTGCGCGTGTCAAGGAGCATCAGAGAGTTGCAAAGCGCAGGGTGGCAGTGAGCACCGTATGCGTAAACGTGGGTACGGCAGTGTTCGGCCCACAAACACATGCACAGACTTCAACAAGGTACATGACAGCTTTTCAGCCGCGCATGCCATTGTTCTATGATCACTGCGTCACAACGGCAATTCAGAAGGGCTTTGTCACGAGCTCACCTGTTGTCAGAGGCGGCCAGCTGCGCGACCTCAGTCGCGGCCTCTGCGTGCTGTGCGGCGAACAGGGAAAGCGCTGCGCCCAGGCCGACAGCGCTGGCCACTCCGCGGCGCTTGGCGGCCTTGGGTGCGGGCGCGGCGTTCATCTCGCTCATGCGGTCGAGCTGGTTGTTGAGCGGCTGCAGCATGTTGAAGCCCACCCATGCGACGGCGGGCGCGAACAGCAGGGCGATGGTGCCCAGCCTGGAAGCAGTGGAAACAGGGGAGGCTGTGTGAGCGGTCTGGATGGCACTTGGGTCGCTATCTACACGCACAGCATCACAGCCATATTGCCAGGGGTACCATCAAAATCGATGGGCTAGCCGAGAGAACCAGTTGACAAACAGCATGTGCACATCAGCGGGTGCTGCTCAGCCGCATGTTTACCTGTTGTCAGAGGCGGCCAGCTGCGCGACCTCCGTTGCAGCCTCTGCGTGCTGTGCGGCGAACAGGGAAAGCGCTGCGCCCAGGCCGACAGCGCTCGCCACGCCGCGGCGCTTGGCGGCCTTGGGGGCAGGCGCGGCGTTCATCTCGCTCATGCGGTCGAGCTGGTTGTTGAGCGGCTGCAGCATGTTGAAGCCCACCCATGCGACGGCGGGCGCGAACAGCAGGGCAATGGTGCCCAGCCTGCAAGCAGTGGAAACAAAAAAGGTTGTGTGAGCGGCCTGGATGGCACTTGGGTTGCTATCTACAAGCCCTTTGTGACAGCCTTGTTGCCCGGGGTATCAGCAAAACCAGCGATGGGCTAACAAGTGCGCATGCCCATGTGCACATCGGCGGGTGCTGCTCAGCCGCATGTTTACCTGTTGTCAGAGGCGGCCAGCTGTGCGATCTCCGTCGCGGCCTCGGCCTGCTGCGCCGCAAACAGGGAGAGCGCGGCGCCCAGGCCAACAGCGCTGGCCACACCACGGCGCTTGGCGGCCTTGGGGGCAGGCGCGGCGTTCATCTCGCTCATGCGGTCGAGCTGGTTGTTGAGCGGCTGCAGCATGTTGAAGCCCACCCATGCGACGGCGGGCGCGAACAGCAGGGCGATGGTGCCCAGGCGGTTGTCGCTGGCGGCAAGCTGGGCGAGCTCGGTGGCAGCCTGGGCGTGGCCAGAGGACAGCAGCACGCCGGCCGCCGCAGGGATCGCCAGCAGCTTGGCGATCTGTGCAGTGATGGGATGGTGCAAGTGGCTTTCGAGGCGCTTGGGCACAGCTATATCTAGTGAAGCAGGTGCTGGCCCATGTGGGCCCTGCCAATGCCAGGTCATGTGGGTAAAGGCGAGCTGAACAGCACCCGCAGTTGCCGCGGCCCTGGGAGGGCTCATGCGGCGAGATGCAATGCCACAGTGAGAGGGATCAAAGAGCCAACCGTCAAGCCCCATTGAATGAGGGGTCTGAAGCTCATGAAGATCCCCGGGCGCCCTTTCCGGACGCTGAACCGCTGTCGGGCGCACCTGGTCATCACGCCCGACAGCAGAGGCCGCCACGTGCACGCTGCGCCGTCCAGAACGAAGCTTAGGTACGGCACGGGGCGCCGGGAGGCGAGCCGAGACCGAGAGCTGCGAGGCCTTGGAGGCGAGCGCCATTGTACTGATCTCGAGTGCCGGGCTGGAGGAGATCCGACGAAATACGCGCAATAGGAGCTACTGCGATACGATACGTGGGGGTTGTCACTTGTCTACTTGAGCCAGAGTCCCGGTGTCGTGCGGGCAACGAGCGGGCGCCTTGCCGAAACGAAGCTATAGCCGCTGCGTGAAGCACGACTTAAGACGAGGCTACAACGGCGAGTAGCATCCTGCCTGGCGCTCCCCGTGAGGTGAGGCTGTCAAATGCCCCTCTGCTGCGTGCCTACTGTAGTGATTGTGCTCCTGCACAACAAGCACGATAGCACACCGCAGCGTCTCCATTACCGCTTGCACCATGGCCATGCAGGTCCATGTCTCCAAGGTCACTTGATTGGTTGCTTGTGGGATCGCGGACAGGTAACACATGTTGCGTCCCAGGACAGTCATCAGCCGCGGAACAGCCGGGCAAGAACCTGGGACTGCGTGGCTCACAAACGGAGTTGGCTGCGGCTGGCACACGCACATGGCACATGCAATAGCGTTGTTTTGATTTCGTTATTGCTGTTTTGAAGTGAGCTGCGCTGCAGCCAAGGTGCGTCATCCCTCGACGTCGAGCTGGAACAAAGCTGTAAGTTTACCTCAGCCACGCGCCAGCAGGATGCGCTGCCAGTGAGCACGCTGCGTGCACAATCAAGCCATACACACCTCACCTCCTCGCATGTGTCAACACGTCTGCAACAACATGCGGGTCCCAGTGGGCAAAAGCCTTTCAGCCTTGCAGCGCTTGTCACGGCCATTGTCTCACGCGCTGCAGTCGATTCAAAGAATGGGCACGTCACGGATTATCGTTCGTCTTCCACGCCTCCCACCGCTTTGCTCCTCAATCACCTTGACCAACACGTGCGGCTGCTGCAGCGCGGTGTACTGTTTTGCCCAGGCGTAGATGCCCCCTGTTTCACTGTGTCACCATCCAACACGTCCCTTGCGTACGCGCCAGTATTCCTGGTGACTAGGGGCGGCACGCCAGCTGACTGACCTGCTGATGTCTGCTGACCGGTGACATCCTTACCGGGCCGCCTCTTTCAAGCACAGGGCACACTGCACTGCTTGCGCCAGTCGGTGATCGTCTCACATGATAAATTTGTCATTTTTTCAACCGGCCGCAACATGCACTGCTCCACGCTGTGTCGGGCCGCAGGGAGGGCAAGCACTGTGAAAGTGCGTGCGGGCCCCGAAAGCAAGCAGGCCAGCGTGAACAAAACCGTGACAAGCAGCGGCGGCGACGGTCGCGATGCAGATGAGCGGATCCGGGTGAGCCAATTTTCGCGGGTGAGCAGCAGCGATCTGGCGTGCTTAGCTGTGCATCATCATTGTTACACAAGGCAGCGGAGCTTCATGGCGCCGCGCCTGCTCAGGGGCCGCTGGGGCGGCGCTTGGCGCCATCAGCGCCCCTGCAATGCTTGGCGCTGAATGTGAGCAAACCCTCTGCCTGATCGGCGAGCCCCTGTTACCTGCGTCCATTTGGGCCACTTCAGGAGTTTCTGCCCAAATTGCTGGACGAGCAGGAGAGTGCCGCCAACAGGTGGGCTGCCAGCCTTCCCTGGCTCTCAGGGGGTGGCGTGTTGCAGGGGCGCCGCCTGGCATGCCGCTCAAACTCAAAAGCTGCCGCGGGACAGTTGAGAGTGTGTCGTGGTGAGGTCCATTCGCGTGTCGCCAGACCGTGGCTTTGCTGCCCGCAACCACTGCCCTCCCACAAGCCGCCCCCGTCCATGCACCCCTGCCTCCGCGGCGCAGCGGCACCGAGCTGAACAAGCTTGCGCAGGTGCGCGCAGCCGACCCCCTCCACCAGCCACCCCATTGGGGATCGCCGCGTTGGTCCCTTTCTGCAGCGGCCCGACACCCGACCAGGGATGCTCACGCTCTACGAGCTGATCCAAAAGCCGGCGGTGGCTGCAATGCGAGCGGTCACGCGGGCCGCGCTGGGTCTCTTGGCGTCACCCATTACGCGCCCATGTCCCATCACAGTGGTTGCCCCCGCCATGTCTCTCGCAGTGGGCCGAAGAGCTGAACCGCAAGGCACAGCAGGCGTTTGCCGACCTGCAGCGCTCGGTGTCCTTCCTGGGCGGTGACAACTCCAGGGTGCGCCGACGCCCCCAGCCGCAGGCCACTCGATTGCGGCTGGGAGCAATCAGCCCCGCGGGCCGCGGCCGCGACCTGCGCTGCCCCGCCGCGGCGCACTGGGGCGCCCCTCCCGCCCGGGCCCTGCCGATCGCACCGCACCGCGCGCCAGGCCGCCCGCCGCTCGCACGCGCCCTCGCGCCGCGCAGGGCGCCGAGAACGGGGCCTCTGGCCGCATCCAGGACACCATCAGCAGGCTGGAGGGCGTCAGCGCGGCCATCGCCGACAGCAACAACCGTTTCGATGCGGAGTTCCCCGGCGCCGCTGGGGCCGACGCTGACGTCAGCGCGGACGGCGCGGAGAAGGTGAAGAGCCGCGAGGCGTACTTGAACGGCCTGGCGGACGACATCGAGTCGGCCGAGGCGCGGCTCCGGGAGGAGGCGGCTGCGGCGGGCGGCGCGGCCAACGGCGCCTTTGCGGTGGCTTCGGCGCCGAGCTCGAGGCCGGGCAGCGCGGCCGGCGCGGCGGCGGGCGCGGTCAAGGTGGGGCCTTGACCGAGCGGCGGCCCTCGTTGGCGGGCGCGATGGGGTGTGGTGTGCACGGGTTCACAGCAGCCACAGGAGCGGAAGATGACGCTCGGCAAGGCGCGACTCCGTTGTTGCGGCACCCACCCCACTGCATCCTTGCACGACGCCCCTCACCCAAAAACCACCGACACCCCTCCGCCCCAAAACATCCATCCATCTTGAAACCCCCCGCCAGGTGGAGCTGGCTGTGCACCGCGAGACAGCCCCGGGGCAGGACGTGTGGGTGGTGGGCTCTGGCCCCGCCCTGGGGGACTGGGACCTGGGCAAGGCCGTGGCGCTGAAGTGGACGGTGCGCTGCCATGGCACCAAGAAGGCTTTGTGCTTGACTTGCATATGACGCGCTGCCATGCAAGCGCGCGTCGACGGGGAGCCGCCTGTGGGCGGCTGCGCGCGCGTGCGGTGGCAACTTGCGGGCGCAGCTGCGAGCGAAGCGGGTGCTGGCTGCATTGAGGGCACGGCGCGGCTCGCCGACGCGCCGCCTGTCTCGACCCCGGTGTTTTGCTGTCTGCACGCTGAGCGCAGGAGGGCCACGTGTGGCGTGCGACCATCGAGGTTGACCCGGCTGTGGTTTCGCGCATTGAGTACAAGGTGGGAAGCATGAACAAAGAGAATGAACGCGTGCATGTCTGCATGTGTGCATTCTGGAAGGCAGGGGCGCCCCAAGTGATGTGTTTCAGCGAGTCTGTGTGTGTGTGTGTGTGTGTGTGTGTGTGTGTGTGTGTGTGTGTTGCATGTATGGTTTGTTTGTGTGTGTTGGAATGGAGTGTGTGTGTGTGTGTGTGTGCACTGTGTGTGTGTACGATTGTGTGCGCGCATTAGCATGGTTGTGCATGTCGACCCCTCGCAAACCCTGATGCAGCAATGCCGGAGAGCTATCTCGCACGCAAGCCAGTGCCGGCCCCTCACACTGACTATCCGCCACTCGGCTCCCCCCCCCTCCCCGCGGGATTCGCTGCCTGCAGGCTGTGCTCAAGACCGCCGGTGGCTCAATCATTTGGGAGAGCGGCGACAACAGGACCGCTGACGTGGCGGCCGGCAGCGACCTTGTGACTGTCGCGCACGAGTTCTGATGTGGTGACGCACGCTGACATCAGTACGAGGGCGCGCGGCAGCGGCGCCCGCAGGCGCTCTCTATTGCAGAGACGCGCGGCCCGGCACGCCAGCCCTTGGGAGAGACTGTAGCCGCAATGGCTGCCAGAGCACAACAGGACCAGTGAGAAGCAGCGCGATTTCAAGTCCGTGGGTAAGAGTGGGCGCTGCAGAGGCAAATGAGCCCGCTTGTGCCCGAACGATGCTACGATTTCTGCACAATTTGAAACGGCAGGCCACGCCTGCCTGTGCCTGGTCTGCTCGCCACTGCTGGCTGCAGCCGGCGTGCACGCGATCATTTCAGGGCTTTTTTGTTGTGTGGTATTGCAAGGAGCGTGATCTGTGCCAGCGTTTGTGACAGAGTTTGGGGGGCAACCGTTGAGTTTTGCACATGCGCGCACCTCTCCAAGTGGCGCAACCGCGGCGCGAGAGCGTCTGTGGAGCAGGGTCCTGCACGACAGGCCCAGGGCGCGTTCATTTGGCCCTGTCTTTGTTCTTGCCAAGCCATCCGAGCTGTGACGGCAGAGCTGCACTGTCCAGTTGGTCCACGTCAGCACGCCAGGCACGAGCCCAAGCGCTCCACTCGACGCGCGTTCCCTCGCGATATCCCATGCACGTGCAGCGTCTTCCCCGTTGCGGCACCTTGACCACGCACGTGGCATTGTCCCACACCCACGCATGAGGCGACTGCCACGGCAGCCGAAGGGCGTGTGGTAACCACCAGCTCTGACCAACAGGGATTCATGTGTGTGATAGTGACGGGGCGGGCGAGGGCGAGTCGCAGCAGCGATTAGGCAGTCCATGGAGGGCGCACGCGCAGGGCTGCAACTGTGACGCATCATCCAGCTGGGAGTGATCGAGACTGTTGACCTCGCCCCCACCCTGACACACCTCCAAACACAGCACCAGCGACCCTGCACATCGAGCGACTGTACAATCTGGCCCTCTGCTGCAAGGAAGGTGGTGTGGCGTGGGGCGCCAGGGCGGATCAGCCTGCAGCTCGTCGCAGGCAATGAGGATCACCTACCCCTGATCGCACGCTGATGGCAAGCGCCGCGCTTGAGCTGCGCAGCCACCAGTCCGGATGAACCAGCCTGGTCCAACCCTGGCGGCGCGCATGCGAACCGTGCTTGCCGCACTGAGGCGGCCCGTCAAGCTGCTCAGAAGGTCCCATGGACTGCTAGTGGCCACAGCAAGCAGAAGGTACGACCATGCAGTCTGAAACCTTGCGTCGGCCTGTGCAGGGCAGGCGGCGGTGCAGCGAGGCACTGACGAGTGACGACGTGTCTCCAGTGGTGGTCACCCTGCTTTGCTGCGGGTCACGCTGATGGGCGCTTGCCGCTGCAGTGCCAGCGGCCAGCTGAAACCAGACTGGCTTGGGTGAGAGAAGGAAGGGTTGTTGTTACAAATCGCACCTGCACCTGTGGCCAAGGACGGGTGGAAGCTGCTGCCTATGCACTGACCCTTTGCGACCCACACAACGCGGCAGGCTTGGCCTTGGCCCGACCCGCAATGGCAAATGGCACGCCCCACAAATTGGCGGACTGAGCCAGACCGACGACCGCGCATGGGCCAAAGCAATAAGCAGCAACCACCAGGGCGAGAGAATACCTATAGTACACGTGAAAAAGGAAGTAGGGGGATAAGAAGAATGGTGCACCCAGAGGCATGGTGCGCACTGCCGCTCGGGCTGGCCCGGCGCTGCGCCAAGGTGCGCGCGCGGCCAGCTGGCCAGGCCGCCCTTGCTGTCCGCCCGGCGCAGGGCCGGGGCTGCTGCCAGCCGGCCGCAGCTGGGGCTGGCGGGTGGCGCATGCACACCTGTCACAAAAGAATAGCGACAGGTCATCAAACGAGGGACCCGTGCGCCTTGCTGGCCGGCGCAGGTGGCACCACGGGGCCGGGCTGGGCGCTGCAGGGCGGGGGTGGTGATACAAGCAACGGCGCCACAACCGAGCCAGGGCCGAATCAGCTCACGCTAATGGAGATTTCTAGTGTCAATACACACACAGACACACACGCACACACACATCACCGATTTGAAACGCATGTCGCGGCGGCTAGCCCGGTCTTGCAGGGTATCGCAGCCAAATGCTGCCACGCGGCCAAACAGGCCGCCGGCACGTGCCCGGATGCCTCGCGGCCCCGGGCTCCCAAACAGAGCTCTTGCCCTGCTGCTGCTGCAAAGAGCGCGCCCGGCAACCACGCCACGCTTTGAGCGAGGCCGCCCTCTGTGCCACGCGCATGAACGCGCAGAGGCGGGCCCCGCAAGAATGGGTGGGTTTCAAACTGCCGCCTGCTGCCAGGCGCCCCAACCAATGAAACAGCACTCGGCGCCACAGTGGCGTAACGGCACCCAGGGGGCCCGCTGCGGCGTTGCGGCCCCAGGGGTGGCAAAAAAGTTGCCTCCGCCCCGCCCCCAGATCCCTCTCCCCTCGATGCCCTGCCAGATCACGCCTCCCAGATCGCCGCGACCAAGGCTTGGGCCTCAGGTAATGCGCGGCGTGGGACCCTCCCTCCCTCTCCCTCCCTCCGTTCCACCCAGTCGGCGGGCAGCCCCCTCCCCCCATCCCTCGCAAGTGAAAATCGACTGATGATGCGTGTGCCGCAAGCCGCCGGCCGCCCGTCAACGCCGCGCCGCCTTGGCGGCCGCCCCGCGCTTGGCGCTCCGCTTCTTCCCCGCCCCCC